TTCATTATCCATGTCTGCTGATTATTGTGATGTTTTGTGTGTGTGTGTGTGTTTTTAATGGCTCTGATTGATCTGGAAAAGATTAAAGACAAAAGCATGATGATACATTAATACATGTAGTAGTATTTTATCTTTAAAAAGAACGTAGAATTGAACTGTTTTGTCGATTGATATTGACAAAGTTAACAAAAAGTTCCACTTAGAAAAATGCTTTTAAGAGCAAGTAAATGAAGTATAAAGTTATTATTTTCTGCTCTCCTTTCAGTTCCATCTTATCCATGTTCCTCAATGTATTCCTTACTCCATGAAGGAAAAGTAAATCTCAGAAAGGCAGACAAAGATGTAGTTAAGAAGGGCTGCAGATAAAGCAGTTAGTCTAAAGAAGCAAATGTCAGTAAGATGAAAGGCTCATCCACGGGCAGATTACTCACTAAGCCTAAAGAAAGCATGGTTTTACCCGCGCTTACTTATTCATTTTGGTGAGCGACTTCACGTTCTTCATCACATCAAAGTAAGCTCACATTTACCTTGCTTACTGAGTACACTTTGATTCTGTAGGAAATTGCTTTGGAATTGGGAGAGAGAGGCGAACCACATCTAGAAGCAGAATCTTTAATGTGATAAAGGATATGAAATTGTTTACCACAAATTATAAGTAATTATAAGTCAACCTGTACTACAATGCTTATCAAGTGATTCCACACTCGGTCCTTAGAATATATCCAAGAATGGTTTAATCAAGTATAAGCAAAGATATTAATATTAATCTTATTCCTATAGTCATATTATTATTCCAGGAATGATAAATTGAATAAGAAGAGTGTGGCAAGAATGTTCATAAAAGAATATTTAAAGATCTATCCTGAAGTGCAAAGTGGTGACTGACAGGATATTATCCATATACATACAAGGAAGCCCTGTAAATAAAACTATTATTCAAATATATACACCAATCACTGAAGCGAAAGCTAAAGAACTGAGCACTTAAACCATTTTTTTCAGTCTGAAATTAATAGAACATGCAATCAAGATGTATTAAAAATAATTAGTGACTGAAATGCAAAAGTCAGAAAAAAAGAAGGATGGGTAATTAAAAATAAGAACTTGGTGAAAAAAATGAAGCTAGACACTGACTGACTGAACTTTTTACAATCAATGATTTATTCACTTCCAATACCTTTTATAACCCACATAAATGGTAACTGAACATATAGTCATTACTTGATGGATTACACACTGTAATTTACATCTGTGAAAAGAGTATAGAAGCTCAACATAGCAGTCCAAACAAGGCCAAGGACTGATTGTGGAGCACTTCATCAATTATTTATGTGCAAGTTCAAAATAAAGTTGAAGAAAATGAAAACAGGACCACAAGAACCAAAATAGGACCTTGAGAATGTCACATGTGGATTTAAAAACCCTGTAAGAATAGATTTGATGCACTGAACACTAATGGTCAGAAAAACTGAGGAAGGACACTAATAACATCATCTATGAAGAAAGCAAAGGGCCATTACAAAGATAATTTTAAAAGAAGAAATCAATACGGGTGTTAGAAGAGCCATTGAAAATTGCACTAGACTGCAGAGAGATTAAAAAAAGGGGAGGGGATAATAAATGCTCACATAAAAGACACAAACATTTCAAAGGGCTACTTGAGAAGACAAAGCAAAATATTATAATGAAAATTGTAGAGATTTGGAGTTAGAAAATAAAAAAGGAAGACCATGGTGGGCATTCTTAAGTTGAAAAAATGGAAAAAAAAATTCTAGCCTCAAGTTACAGTACTGAAGGAGTCTATAATAAAAGTACTAAATGATGCAGGAAGCATCAAAAGAAGGTAGAAAGAAAACTTAGCCACTGTACAAAAAAAGAACTGGTTGGCATGGAACCATTTCAGGAAAAACTGTATGATCAGAAACCAGTGGTAATGAAGGAAGAAGTTCAAGCTGCACTGAAGAAACTGTCAAAGAATTAAGAGCCTAGGAATTGATGAGATTCCAACTGACAAGTTTCAAGAAAGAGATGCCGCTCTGGACATGATCACTAGTCTATGTGAAGAAATTTTGAAGAAAACTACCTCGCCATTTGACTAGAAGAGATATTGGCTTCCATTCCCAAAAAAAGTGTGAATCCAACATAATGTGAAAACTATAGGAAAAATTATTAAGATCAAAATCAAGTAAAATCTTGCTGAAGATTTTTAAAATAGCTAGAGTGGTATATCGACAGGGAATTGCTGGAAATCCTACTGGACTCAGAAGACAGTGAGAGATACTATTGCTGATGTTGGATAGATCTTGGCAGAAAGCACAGAATATTGGGATGGTGTTTATTCGTTTTATGACGATGCAAAGGTATTTGGTTGTGGATCACAACAAATTATGGTTAACACTGAGAAGAATGTAAATGACAAAACACTTAAATTATGTTTATGTGCTCAAACCTATACCTAGACAAAGAAGTTTTTCTCAGAAGAGAATAAGGAAACGCCGAATGGTTTAAAATCAGCAAAGATTGTCAGGGTATATCCTTTCTCTATATGCATTAGATCTGTATACCAAGAAAATCATTTGAGAAGCTGGACAATATGAAGAAGAATGCGGCATCAGGGTTGAAGGAAGATTCATCAACAACATGTGTTATGCAACTGATACATCCTTGCATAATATGAGTATTTCAAAAATACTTACTATAAAAGATCAAAGCCAACTACCTTCAATATAGATTGCATCTCAATATCAAGAAAACAAAAATCCTTACCATTAGACAAATAGCTATTATGCTAGATGGACCAATGTTGTCAATTATGTTAGTTAGGTCCACAATCAACACTCATGGTAATAGCAGTCAAGAAATCAAAAGATGTGTTGCACTGGGAAAATCTGCTGTCGAGGACCTCTCCAAAATGTTAAAGAACAATAATGTCAATTTAAAGACTAGAGTGCCTCTGATCTGAGCCAGAATATTTTTAATTGCTTCCTTTACATCTGAAAGTTAGACAGTGAATAAGGAAGATGAAAGGATTGATGCCTCTAAATAGTGTCAGAGGAAAAAATGGAATATCCCAAAAGAATGAACAAGTTTGTCTTGGAGGAAGTATAATAAAGTATGTGTCTAAAAGGCAAATGTGCTAAAACTTTATCTCATTTACTCCCGTCCTTGGAAAAGGCATCATGCTGGGAAAAGCAGAAGTTCACAGAAAGAAAGGAAGAGTCTCAACAAGATGGGTTGGCACAGTGGCCATAACATTGAGCTCAAGCACACCAGAGACAGTAAAGAGGGTGCAGAATAGGGTGAGCTTCTTATCTGTTGATCACAGTCACAGTGAATCATAGTGGACTTGATGGAATCTAACAACAATAAACCGAAACAAAATTCTCAGTGGGTTTATTCTAATTCATAGATACCATATACAGAGTAGAGATGCACTTTAGGGTTTCTAAGTTTGTAAGTAGCCTGCCACATCATCCTCTAACAGACCTCTGGCTATTAGACTCCAATTAGTAACTTTGCAGTACCTACTGTCATCAAATCAATTCTGACACATGATGATCTCTCATCAGGTTTCTGAGGCTGTAAATCTTAAGGAGAGAAGACTACCAAATTTTTCTTCTGCAGAACAGCTGGTGAATTCAAACTGTGTATCTTTCAGTTAGCAGCCCATCTATTCATCTATTACACTATTAATGAAGTGAAATCTGAACAAGCTAACAGAGAGAAGTGATTTGAAAATATAATACACACCATTTGCTTTAAGAAACACATATATAAGCTATTGGCCCTAAAAATTTAAAGTGTTATTTATCCCACAAAACAACTAAATCTCAGGGGAGCTCTGGTGGCCTAGTGACAAGGAGCTGCAACTACAATCCTAGAGGCGCACAGTTCGAATCCACAAGATGCTCTGCCGGGAAAAGAGGGACAATCTCCTCTTGTACCAGTCAGATCTGATTTGACGGCACACTCACACAAAATAATAAAATTTTTAAAAAAAACTAAATCTCTTGATCTCAGTTATCGTATTGTATTTGCTTAAGCAAACTTGATATTACAGATGTAACTTCCAGTTATAAAACACTAGCAAAAAGAATATTAATTTTAAATGGAAGATAGTTGATAACATTTTCTATAGCAATATAGTTCTAAAGAGGTAATATTAATTCTCTAAATAGTCAATGTTTAAATGTTTGAAAAGTTCCCTAAACACATTATTTCAGGTGCCATGCAAAGACTGTGACTTCAGATCAGATCTTGGAGGGAGTAACAACATGTGCTGGGGCACGTGACTTCTCAGCTTTCTTCCACAGTATAATGTAAATAGGAACCTGAATGGTCAGAAACATAAAAGTCTTATCCAGACATACTCTTTATTTTCTATATCACTCTTTATTCCCCAAATAGTAAATAACTTTTTAAATAATCAAGAAATATAATGGCCATGCTGATCATGCTAGCACTGGCAGTAAACTCAATAATGTAGAGTTTAGAGGATGAAATGAGGGAAACCTAGGGCATACAGATGGTTTTATAGAACTCATGCCTCTTGATTCTGTCTCCACTTAAAGAGTATAAAAGGTATGCACAGGAAGTAGCAAGAGAGCTGTTGATTCTGAAGCCCAGAGTCCCTTAGAGGGAAGACAAGATCCCAAAGACATGAGGTGGTAGAAGCCATCAGGTTAAGAAAACAACAGAGCAAGAAGACAACAAACCAGTAAAAGCACATTCAGACACATTCGAAATTTCTGATATACAAACTGTATAAATACTAATTTGAGAAGTAAAATAAAAAAATATATTGATTCTTTCCTGGAACTGCCTCATTTCCAAAAATTCCTTTTCTTTCTTCATCTAGTCTTCCACTATCTTCTCCATTCAGGCCTCATTCAGCTCAGTTAATAAGGCAACTATGCCAAGTACCCACTTTCAATAAGTGTACAGGATACACTTAACATACGAGCACAGTGATAACTTCTCATTCTTTTTAAAGGTCTTACCTCCAGAAGCCATGGTTTTAGTTTTCTATCCAACAGAATATCAAATCCCAAGACTTCAAAACAGACGCTTTCACTTCCTGGAGGTTGTCCGGGTCTGCACATTCGGTATGCATGGAGGACATGGGGCTCTGCTACAATTAAAGTCTTGACCACCAATTCCTGTGGGTTGTGATAAAAAGAGGTGAAGATGTCTTAGCATTTTGTATTCATTTACATATGTAGAAACATAGGGCCTAGCTGAAGCTCTGACTTCATGTCAGTCAATTCTACTGTCTACTACGCTGCAGGAATATGTGCACCTTGTGTTTTCATGACATCTCCTCCTGCTTTTGGCCCTTTGTACTAACTGTTCCTTCTGCTGGGAATGCTCATTCCCCACTAAATCCCAGACCTAGCTTCTTGATAATCAGAAAGGCCTTCCTTGACCTCCAAGTTAACATAACCACCCACAAACATTTATATCACCCCAGCCAATGACTCCTACAGCACATACCTGATAGGGTTTTTTTTAAAGCAGTTTCACACTTGTCTTATTTATGACTCCATTAACAGCACCCACAACAATGTCTAGCATTTAATAATTTTGGGGGTAATATGAAATTGTAGGGACTCATAGCTGCCCTATTGAACAGAGCAGAACAGCTCCCATTGGGCTTTTTTAAACGATAAGTTTCAGAAAAGCAGATTGTTCCATCTTTCCCTCATGGAAAGGTTGATGGGTTTGAATTGCTGGCCTTTTATTTGACAGCCAAGCACTTAACCAATGCACCACTAGTGCTGACACAATATCTGTAAGTTGCTAAGGGGGAAAAAAGCCTTGAATGAATGAATGGATGGATAGATAGATGATAGATAGATAGATAGATAGATAGATAGATAGATAGATAGATAGATAGATAGATAGATAGTTGGATAGATAGATAGATAGATAGATAGATAGATAGATAGATAGATAAAATAGAGGTTGATAAATGCGGTTTCTCAGTTGAGCTGCCAACCTGAAGAAACATGGTTAGAGTCCATGAGCTGCTCCAGGGAGAAAAAGAGTCAATTTCCTCCTATGAGATTTACAGCCTTAGCAAATCCACAGGAGGGTCAGGTATGAGTCAGTTCCACGGATGGCACACAAAAGCAACAACATTTGTTAAATAAAATTAAAGTATGAGCAGGTCCTAGTCTTCTTAGGAAAAGCATATAAATAAATGAGCTTAGTAGGAAACTTTAAAAAAATCAGAAAGAAACATTTAACAAACAAAAACCATTAAAAATTATAAAATATTATCAATTACACAAAAATAACCATTATAAGATCTCTGAGATATATTTGAAGGGCTAGGAGGATAGAGTTTATATATGAGTCCATGTTCTTGGTACAATAATGTCTCTGTGGTTCATAAAGTTTGTCTGGAAGGAGAATACTGTTAATTAGTCTGATGACCAAGTAGAAAGTTATACTGCTAATATAAAAGGCCATGTATCTCTGGTTCTAATCCACCACCCACTCCAGGCAAGAAAGATCCCCAATCTTTTCCATTGTGATTTATAGCCTTGAAAAGCCAATGGAGGGTCAGCTATATACATTACTTCCAATTCAACAGCAATGAGTGAGTGACTGGCCAAAGCACATAATACTTGCTATGTTACTGATACAGGAAAATTGGGTCCTGAACTTTGGTAAAAACAAACTATAGATTATGGAAATACTATTAGTTTTTGCTTCTAACACACACTATCATTTTTAACTGTTACTTGAGATGTGTAAGAAGTGATAGCATAGTGATTAAGAACTTGGTTCTGAATTTAGAATACATTAATTTCTTTGTGGCTTTGCTACTTCAAAGTCCTACTACTTGGGTCATATTGCTTAAACTTCAGGAATCTGAGTATTCCCAAATGTAATCTGGGAGTAGCAACAATATCCACTGTAAAATAATTAGGTAAAGATAAAATGTGATTACATGTAAAACTCTTAGCACAGTTCCTAGAACTAAGTAAATGTCAGTAAAGGCCAGCTATTTTACGAACCACTAATTACTTGAGCGTGAGTTAATAATGAGTTGCAATGACCCCATTTGTGTCCAAGCACAACTGTGCTCCATAGAATTTTCTGGAAGTAGATGACCAGCCCTTTCTTCTACATTCCTCTCTATAAACTTGAATCTTGAACCTTTTCTGGTTAGCAAACTCAGTGTTTTGGACATTTACATCACCTAGGAGCTCCTAGCTACTTAACTACTACCATTATTATTGTTACTTGATCATTCCTATTAAATGCTGCCTCTTATGTCAAGTCAGATATACATTATAGTATATGGTGGGAATATTTACTATATAGGAGAACAAAGGTAAGATAAAAATCAATCACTTTATTGATTCAGAATCTCAGTGCTAATCAAATAAGGGTAAAAACTGTTGTGAAAGTTTTCGCAAAAAAATTCTGGTCTAAATAACAACTACGTGGTCATACTGCATTATGATGTTGTTCTTATGTGGTATCTACTCAGAACCAAGTAATACCTGACCCTCTATAATGTTTACAGAGGCACTAAATCACACTGTTCTGAAAGAACTGGCAAAAAACAAGACTCCAGAAATTGACAATATACCAGCTGAAATATTTCAACAAACAGATGCTGGTCTGAATGTGCTAACCAAGTTGTGCCAAGAAATCTGGAGGACAATGACCTGGCCTATGGACTGAAAAAGATCTGTATTTATTCCCATTCCAAAGAAAGGTGATCTGACAGAGTGCTAAAAATATCGAACAATATCATTATTATCACATGAAAGCAAGATTCTGCTGAAAATTATCCAAAAGCAACTGAACAGCACATCAACAGAGAACTGTCAGAAGTTCATGCTGGGTTTAGAAGAGGCAGCAGTAGTAGGGATATTATAGTTAATGCCAGGTGTATCTTGGCTGAAAGCAGAGTGCAAAAAGAATGTCTGTCTGTGTTTCATTGACTATACTTTTGACTGTGTGGATCACAACAAACTGTGGCTAACCCTGAGAAGAATGAGAATTCCAGAACACTTGATCATTCTTATCTGAAATCTATACTTGGATCAGGAGGCAGTCATCAGAATAGAGCAGGGTTCAACATTGCATGGTTCAAAATTGCAAAGGGTGTGTGTCAGGGATGTATCTGATCTCCATACCTTTTCAACCTATATGCTGAACAGATTATCTGGGAGACTGGGCTCTATGAGGAGAAGTGTAGCATCAGGATTGGAGGGAGACTCATCAACAACCTGCATTATGCAAATGACATAACCTGATTGCTGATACTGAGGAGGACCTGAAGTGCTTGCTGCACAAGGTGTACTGAGGAGGACCTGAATTGCTTGCTGCACAAGGTGACGCTCAACATTAAGAAAACAAAGATTCTCACCACTGGGCCAATTGGTATCATCGTGAAGGATGACGAAGAGATTGAGATTGTAAACAGCTTTGGTTTGCTTGGCTCTACTATCAACACTCTTGGTACCAGCAGCCAAGAAATTAAAAGATGAATTGCATTGGGAAAGTGCTGTCAGAGACCTCTCCAAAGTACTGAATGAAGCACAACAATGTCAGTCTGGATATTAAGGTGCACCTAATCCAGGTCATAGTCTTTGAAATTACTTGCTATACATCAGAAAGCTAGACAATGTCTAGGGATGATAGAAGGTGAATTGATTCCTTTGAACTGTGGTGCTAGAGAAGAGTATTGAATATACCAAGAACTGCTAGAAAACAAACAGGTTCATCCTTGAAAGGGTGAGAACAGGCTGCTCCTTGGAGGCAAGAATTCTGAAGCTTTGTCTGAAATACTTTGTCCTTGAAGGGACATAATGCTTGGCAGGGTGGAGGGACAACTCAAGAGAGGAAGACCTTCAAAGAGGTGGATTGATTCAGTGACTGGGGTAATGGAGTTGGTGTGTCAGAGACAATAAGATTGGCACAGGATAGAGCAGGGTTTAGGGCTGTTGTACGTAGATTTGCTATGAGTTGCAGGTGACTTGATAGCACTTAACAACAACAACAAACTACACAGGAGGAGAGTGCCTATCTTTTTCCCTGAAACATAATACCATATAAGTATAAAAGGGAAAAAAGCCATTTTACATAAATATTTGGAAGTATTACTGTAGCAATTTAAAAGTAGAGATAATAAATTAAAATAAAGGCTAACATATATCTGTGAAATAAAACAGGCTCAGTGGAAAAGTGAAAAGCTCTCGATGGACCTTGTCTTACAGATTTATTATTTGCTTTGTAGTAAACAGCACATTTTTTTAAGAATAGGAAAGTAAAATTACAAATATATATTTCAGATGTGATAGAACCAAGTACAAATTTCACTAATGACATTGGGGCATTTTAACATAGCAGTATTGCTTTGATATGTGTAATTATTTGTAGATTTTTTTATATACACTTATATTTGTAGATTTATAAGCTTTGATATGTACAGATATTTGTCGATTTCTAGCTTAAGTTTATAAAATTATTCTATACAGTTCATTCAAGGAGTAATAATTTATTTTAATAATACTAAATATCATTTAAAATTTACTTATTGGTCTGGTTGCCCAGTGGTAAAGAGTTGTGCTGCCAAGCCAAAGATAGGTGATGAATCTACCAACTAATTTATGGCAAAAAGGTGAACAATCTCTCCTCCCATGGAAGTTACAGCTCTGAAAATGAGTCATTCCTAATAGACTACATATAATATCAACAGCAATTTATTAGTCATTAAAAAGAGGAAGACTGTCAACAAGATCAAATGACATAGTGACAGCAGCAATGGGCTCAAGTATATCGGAGACAATGAGGATGGCACAGCATAAGAAAGGGTTCAGATCTACTGATCAGAGGCTCATTACAAGTCATAGTCAACTATACAGCACCTAACAACAGCAGCATATTGTTTATTGGTTACTAATATACACTAAGTAATATAATAGAAGTCAAAAAATCAAAAGGCATAGCATTGAGAAAGTCTGCTGTGAATGAACTCTCCACAGTGCTAAAGAGCAAGGATTTTTTTTTCCCATTCATTCACTGTAGCACTTCTTTCCCTGCCCACCTCTCCCCTCCCCTCCAGTTCATTCTTCTCTTTGAAAAGTAAAAGAAAAATTATTTCATTGTTATACAAGCCCTCACCTCAAGTCCA